ATTTTAGGGAGACTTGCCACGGTCTCCAACCCTCCTCCTTTCTCATCCGGGCTTGGGACCGGCAATGGCGGAGTTCTGTGCTATAAGTGCGCATTAAAATTTAATATTTGTGCAGAGATGATACATTCAATTAAAAAATAGGAGAAATGTCCTTTAAAACATGTGAACGGTACTGTATACACGTACTGTAAACAAGTAAACAATAGTGCCTGATTAACAGGTGGAGGTTCGCTAAATTCAAGTTTGCAAAATTCGAGTTAGCTGAAGGTTTTCTAGACGTAACTTCAGTGCTATTTTGCGACAGCGTACTTCTGAGATAGATTTTTTTGTCATAGAGCCGCAGTCGAGTGTCACCTTCCCGTTATCAGCTCGGATTGCGCTCCCTTCGTAATCTTGAAAGCCACTTACTACAGCTGAATCCACAAAGCCGGCTTTTGCTAAGCCCCACGGCCATTAAGGCATCCCATTTATTGTACCGATAAGGAAGCATTTTACATTCCGTTCTGCTTCTAGCCGCATCAATTTTAACTTCGTCGAACTCCATCAACGAATTTGTTAATCATCGTCGATCCGAAACGTTCAAAATGAAACACTTTGAATTAATTCACTAATGTGAACTAAAAAGATTTCAGAAACCTTACTTCATGCTGTAGGGCCTTTTCATTAAAATGCAGTGCCAGTGAAAATTATATGCACCTTATTGTAATTTCTGAAATCTTCTCAGATCAGACGCTCAGTTTATAGATCTGTAGCACCTCGAAATACCGTTAAATCATGTTATTTGGTTTAAAAACATTTGGAAACTGCAAAACAAGTTCAGAGAAGGACGGCTTCAAACAGTTTTATGTTGCTCCTCTATTCCAATGAAGTTTTGGTACGTCTGAAGTTCCCTCTTGAATAACCTACACAACAGAGCTGTTAGAAATTGTGTTCAATTCAAAAGTTTAAATATTGATCAGTGTTCTCAGTATTGTTCAGTGAAGCATAAGAGCACACACAGCACAGTGAAAGCACTTGTTGCCATAAGTAAACTGACAAATCAAACTTTAGTACCATGGTTACTTGTTTTCGGCACATATACGTATAGAACGTAAATGATGGTTCCTTCCGATATGCAGAAATTTTTTCAGTAACTTTTATCTTCCCGTATGCAAGCTTTGACATTCTTCTAACTGGCGCAGAGCTTCACCTTGTCCAAAAGTTCAGTTAGAAATGCATAAATAAAAGTTTCATGAAAAATGTACAAGGTTACTAGATAAAATATGTCCACTTTTATCATATCACAAAATAGAAAAATGCAAGCAATGACGAATATCGAAAATTAAATATGACTGTAAAAATTAAGATCTTACACAGCCACAAGAATACGGTAAATAAATAATTGCCAAAACAATCTTCCGTTTTAAGTCAGACAGCAAAGTTAGGTAATTTTCCGCTTAAAACAGCTTTCCATAAACGTTCCGAAATATTGTAATTTTTATTGTACGATTTTCAGTAGTCTCCCATTTTACTGCAATGCGTTCTGTTCCTAGGTTCTTAGATTGAACAAGTACATGTGGAGAAGGTTTCTGCTGGCCCATCTCTTTTTTCTTCGACGCGACAATACGGCTGGTGAAGAGACAATAATGACTCGATTCAAAGGTGATCTAATAGCAGGAGTTAAAACTCTTGGAGAAACGATGAGGCCACCTTTGTATACTGGAGTAAGAATAAGAGGGCTCAATACCAGTGGGTTCAAGATTGCAGGTGAAACTGTCAACGGACTGAGTACGAGTGGTGTAAGTACGTAGGGCGACAAGATAATTGGGCACACCGTTAAAGGACTAATTATCAGAGGAAAAAGAACCAGCGGAGACAGAATAACCGGAGACAAAACAAGAGGGGTGATATATAGACCTCCAAGCACATGGGGAGATAGAATAATTGGAGACAGTACAAGAGGACTTAAGACAAGCGGCCCGAAGATTGATGGCGATAAAATAAAGGGTGATAGTACCAATGGACCCAGTATATCCGGAACGGATGCTGCAGCAGGATTCAAAATTGTAGGAGCTAAAACTGCTGGTGTCAAAACCGCCCGTCGTTTTCTCGTCAAAGAGTCTCCAAGAATCAGTCGTGCTTCATTCATGAGTAATTTTTCTTTTTCTTCTTCATTTGCCAATAGAAACGTGTTATAAAATTTTGGACGTTCAGTAATATTCAAGACATTCGATGGACCGTAAAGAAGCTCGATTTGACGCCTGTTCAGAAATGCGTAGCCGTGTTCCTTCAATTTCTTTCTTTGGCGGCTGTCGTACAGTCTATCCAACCTGCGAAACACTCTTTTAAGAACAGCCTTTGAAGATGTACCGTTGGTGAATACGTCACTCAGCGGTTTGGCAACGGCTTTCAGCTGCAACAGCAAATGCATTGTGCTGTTGTCTTTGAAGGACGTCAGCTGGTCTTCTCCAAGCGTCATTAACTTGTCGGTGGTTCCACTCATCTCCAGTATCAACCTCAGCCAAGCTGCTTGTTCCGAGGACGGTTCGGTGCCCAGTAGTTTTGACAGTGGCAAAATTTCGTTGCTGCTTCGGTCGTTGTACAAGCTGAGAACATTCGGTGACAAAATGGACGAGAAGTTACCCCTCTCGGGA